TTATAAGGGGAAATGCTTGTTTTGTATCCGGGGAAACTTCCCAAACTCCGAACATACAGAAATCTGGTTTTGACTCACCTTTACAGGCATTTGTTTGCATTTCCATATGGAAAATTAGTGTTTTGAGTTGTTTCTACAAAATGAATTGCATGTCTGAACAGATCCAGACGTGGTATATGTTGTTCTGAGTAGCGTATAATCAGGCTTTGTGCAAAGGTGTCCCCATCCTCAGAAAATCATAGAATCATAGAATGGTTTGGGTTGGAAGGGACCTTAAAGATCATCTAGTTCCAACCCCCCTGCCAAATCAAACCAACACAGCCTACTGCCCCCAAACAAGCACACTCTGTTGTATATTTTAAATATCCCTTGAAAGATTTGAGCATTTTGGGTCTGGTAAGAGTGATTCATGGGGGGAAAATGTAGCAGGCTTCCCTATCTGATCTTGGGTACTTCTTAAAATCAGTCCTGTGGTTCATATCACTTGCTGCAGATGAATATGCTAATTAAACATGATAGTATATTCCAAATACTACTTGACTTTCTTCATCAATTTCACTCATATATTAACTTTTAACCATTTAACTTTCTTTCACACACACATATTTTGGGAAACACACTCTTGTCAGGCGACTGATCCCCTTTGACAAAGGCTAATTTATGTATAGATTTTCACTGTCCGTAATTTTTTTTTTTTTTTGATGTCCTGAGCGTCCCTGATCCTGTTAGTCTTTGCTTCCCATGATGGCCAGTGCAAATTCCTTTCATGTTTCTGTCTCTCAGCTTCCCTCACTGTTCTTGTTTACCCACTTCTTCTTCTGGCTTTGTTTGAGATAGTCACCTGCAGTGCATCAAACCACTGTCCTCACTTGTCATTTTGAGTATATTCTTCTGCCATTGTCTGCTCACTAAATTGCTTCCCTTGTTCTAATTTACTGTTAACATAACACTACCAATGCTACCATCATACTGCCAAGCCTCTTTCTTTGCCAGTGAACTAATTCTCTTGCTATGATGAATGAAGGGCATAGTATAGCCTCATACACAAAAAATGGTAGAGCTTGTTAGACTCTGCCACCGGCACGAGGTCTTTAAAAATGATGGATGCAAGTTTACTTTTTAGTTTCTTGAGTTACTGTGAGGAAGCAGTTATTTATATCTATTTAAGCAAAACCATGTGTCTCTCCGTGTATTCTAGACTTACAACAAGAAGGCATCCTCGAGGAGGAAAGAGTATCAGAACGGCTCTACGGCCACTGTGAACGGGTACACAAACAGCTTTTCTTCCCTTGAGAACAATGTGAAACAAAGGAAACAAAGGAAGGATTGAAGACCAAACTGAAAAACCATTTTGATAACCCCAACAACAAAATCATCTGATTGTAAGCACAATAAGAGTTGTGCACTAATACTCTAATGGCTACTGTAACTATTCCTGCCTAGAATAGTGTGATTTATGTAGGACTTAACCAGTGCAAACACCCTAGAAACCATATACAGAACATAAAAGTAGGTTAAAGTTTAAAAATAATTCTGGGCTGTCACTGACCCCGCTATAGACTGTGGAAGGGAGTATTATCGTAGTATCCGACACTGCTGTTGCCTTACTAGTCAATATGATAGGTGCTGAATTATGATTCACAATTTGAAAACACTGTAATCTAAACCTGTTTTTTGGTTTTGTTTTGGTTTGGTTTTTTTTTACTGTAGATCATGCATGTGATTGTAGAGGTAATTTGTATGATGCTGGTTTCAGTAGATAAACACACATGCCTTAAATTAAAAAGCAGGGCCCAAAGCTTATTACTGGTTTAAAAATTAGGATATGTTTCAACTTTTCAGTTGACTGACTTTTTATTAAAAAGTCACTTAGAAGAATCCATTGATCATTTTACTGTTCTGTATGTGATACATAATGTTACGTATCTCTTACGCGATACAGTGAAATTGGAAATGGCACATTTAGTTTTGTATATTTGGCTTTAACTGACTAAACAGTCACGAACCAGATGGAAAAGTTATTTTACCTTTTTAATAGATCTTATTTTTTTATTTGAAGTATTTCACTAATGTAAAATTAATTGGCGCTTACACAGTTCAGTAAGACTTAAATATTGTCTCTAAGGTTTAGAGTGTATACAGGGTGGACCCATCTTTTCTTTTCTCTTTTTATTTTTTCTTTTTTTTTTTTTACTTATTTCTGAAAATTCTTAAATGCTAAATGAATACTGGTTTTTAATATGGAAACTGGCAGAATTTCAAGTGTTACTATCATAGCCATATCCACGTTAGGAGCTACTGTTTAAGTCTGTGACGTATCCAAAAGGATATTTAAAAACGGAGACTGAAAGATGATTTTCTGGTGGAACTGTCTGTGTTTAAGTTGGTATCTGTACCGTTCTTCATGTAGCGTATGTTCATTTTTAAAATGTGCCTAACACAAATGTGGTTTTTTCCCAAACAAGCAAAATTAAATAGTCTAAGTCATACATGATGTTTTTTCAGATGTTACTGAAATGTTCTGGAAATGTCTGTTTCTGTAATGTGCGTTGTTTGTATCACCAGTAGTGTTTTGACTTGTTACCTGAGGATTTGGTTTGAGTGCTTGTTAAAGTTACTCCTTCTTATAAAATCTTGCCTTGCACATAGGAGGAGTCAGTTGCAAAGCCAATAGCTATTGCTGGTATTCTGGTATCTGCTGTGGTGGAGTTTGGCTTATGAATATTTTATTCATTAAGCTCTGAAAAATTGAACAGTGCAAGACGTTCTGCTGGTCATTGCTCAAGTTTAACTATTTGTTTTTTGATATTTATATAAATGCCAGTTTTAACATGTTTAATTTTTTTTAATTAAATCTTTTTAAAAAAATTTTTGCACATCTCTTAGGGAATTAGTAAGTTCTCCTACTAGCCTTGTGGGTTTTCATTCCTTGTTTTGAAGGAGACAGTGTCTGTTATGTTTACATTATCAAAGCTTGTGCGTGTGTCTTCATTTCTAGGTACTGGTTTGCAGAGTCTTTACATAGCTCAATACAGCAGCTATAATGTTCAAAATAGACCGTCTAAATGTGCTAGAAATAAACCCTTGGCTCATCTGAATATACCTACATTGTTAATGTTTGACATGGTTTAATCATTAAAACACTTTTGATGATCTCTGCCTGAATTCTGGTGGGTTTGTACAGTTTTAATGCATCGCCCCCTCCTGTGTCAGGCCAAGGAGGAGCTGTCGTGAGGGGAAGGCAGCTGCAGATATTCAGAGAAATGTCGCGTACCAGAGATTTGGTAACAGGTTCCTTACAGAAACCTTTGGCTGTTACTAAACAATGTTCCCTTGCCTGGCTGTAGAAATACTTGTCTGTGTGATGGATTAAACCCTCTACTGGGATTACTGACTGACAGAATGCAGAGCAGCCCGAGTGGCTCTGAGACGATGAATGCCAGGACCAAAGCTTGACATGGCCAAGAGGTACTTTCTGCCTCAGATATCCTGTCTATAAAATGGGAATAATACCCCTCTCAAGGATGGGAGCATTTTTGCAATTTCCTTATAGCTCCCCTTGCCCTTAAACGATCATTTCTGAGCCCTCTCCAATTTGAGTGTTTAACCAGTGCGTTGCAACAAGCCTTGCTAGCTTGGTGATGGATTTAGTGAAACCAGAACTATCTACATAGCTGTCTGTCTTCTCACTTGCAGGCTCTTAAAACAAGGAATCTAGACCAGGGAAATGGGATTTATGCTTTGTATGAAAGGCTCAGAGGTTTCATGCTATGCTGGAGACCAGCTCTGGGAGGGAGCTTTAAATGCCTGAGATGGTTGCTAAGACAGTTTTATCTCCTGCACATGCAAATTCCACTTTGAAATTCAGTATTTTTCTAAGCAGGGCTCAGTGAGGTGCAGTTCTTTGGATGATAAACCAAATCCACAGGGAGTGCCTAGGAGGCAGAAGCAACAGCACCATCCTGGACTTCCCTGGTGAGCCAGTGGGGACTGGGCTTCTGTGCTCCAAACCTGGCCTTCAAGGTCAGTAACACATGATGACAAAATGTGATGGCTTTATCATCATTGGCCACCACGCAGACCCAGTGACTTTGTCCAAAACTGGCAGGAGATGTGGTCTTGGGAAGATGTAGAGCATCAATAGTGTTCACACCTGCAGGTAGGAGATTGTGACTCTCTATGGGTGCTCTTCTACAGTCTGAGCAGCAACAGAGAAGTGTCTGAGAGCTGTAGGGATTAGATCAAACATCACTTTACCGTAACTGACAACCAGACTGATGGACCAGGCCAAGAGCCTTGCGTTTGCCTACCTGGCTCAGCTGCCAATGCATTACCTGACCTGGGGCAAGTAACAGCCTTTGGATTGCCTCAATGGAGTGTAAGAGACCTTCGAAAGGACCTTTCAGGTTGTAAAGGCTGGAGAGATGAAAAGACCAACTGCCGCCAACGGGATGGAGGTTTCATGTAAAGTTGGCTGAGGAGAATGAAACACTTCAGTACCTATTCAGTGCCACTTCAGTACCTGCAGTGAATGATCAAGCTTCAAACTGTTACGTTAAGATCTCACACAGCTCATGAGCTGACCAGATCCCTTCCCGTACTCGGGCCCTGGAGCCCGAGTGATGGAGAGGGAGGTGGATACTTTTGTTAAGCTGTCAATGGGACAGGTGAGCTCACATGCCCAGAACACGGCTCTTCTTGTGGCAGGCCTGGTGTGAAGACCCCAAGTGCTGTGTGACAGATGTGCAAGCCACACTGGGGCTGGGGTCACTCAGGCATTGGGATTCCTGAGGTGGCAGAGGGTAGTGGAAAAGCAGAGAACGATTCTGGAAATCCAGGAAAACTTTGTAGTTGGTTGTGTATTTTACATAATGCAAGGCAGATATCAAGTAAGCCCTGGAGCTTCTGGGAGGACTTCAGCCACCAAAATGGGCAAAGGAAACCCCCAAAGCCCCAAACCTAATGGAAAGCTGTTCTGAGAGTTGACTCTACCTTTGATATTTGGTAGCTGTCTTTAGGCTGAAGTTGATAGAAATGTGTGTTTGTAGTATGAGACCGGGATGTGTGTTGTTAAAAGGTATGTGTTATTCAAAAAAAGAGATGTAAAAGTCAGCTAGGTGCTGAATGAAAGTATAAATAAAATCAGAGGCCAAATTACTTTGACAGTGTGGGTTCTGCTGGGGATCTCCTTGGAGCAGTGCAGGGGGTGATTAAAATAAGAATAGAGATCTTGTGTTAGAGAAATGCTGCCAAGAGTTGTGTTGGTACAGAAGATTACATTGTCACTGTCATCCTGTTGCCAAGAATTACTGAACCAACAAAGGTGATTAGTTGTAATCATCAGGATGTTGCAAGAACTGGTTTAAAAAGCAAACTTCAAATTCAATTTTCAACTTTCATTCCATTTAATTTAAATTAATTAATTAAGATGTTTATACAAAACAAGATCTATATGTTTCTCAATTTCAGTAGAGTAAATTTGGATGAACAGGAGAAGCTGGGGCTTCTTCCCGAGGGACTCCCAGGATATCACAACAGCAGAGGCATTGTATTTTAAGTTAAAGGGGTTAAAATCTCAAACAGAAAGGAGAAAAATTAGTAACAAATGTCTAATTTAAAAAAAAAAAAGTGTTTTGTTTGTTTTGTTTAAGTCATTCAAGCTGGGATGTAGAGAAGGAGGAAAAAGAATTACATGTCTTGTGTTTCAAGGATATATAATGTAGATACTGTGTTTTCTATAGGAGGAATATAAAAAATGGTACCTGCTACCTGGTGTGCTTGGTAGTCTGATTTCAGTATGATGAGAGGTTTCAGAATAAATTAAAAGAATGCTTGAGTACAAGGAAGCAAACAAAATGGGAGAAAATGTCACACAGCTTTTCTGGAAGTGATCACACCTGACTTACCCATATTGTTGTTTAATAAAAAATACCATGTAGGCATCTTCCATCCATCTATAATAGTGAAGTGGTTTCACTATTTTTAATCTCAGAAATTATTATCTAAACTAGAGGGTGTGGTGACCAGCAATGGGGTCTATGGACAAGCAAGGGTCAAACTGATGAGAAGATCACAGAATCATTGAATGGTTTGGGTTGGAAGGGACCTTAAAGATCATCTAGTTCCAAGATGGTTTGACTCAATGCTTTCAGCCTGAACAGAGTCCATTCATAATGTTTTTAATAATGACCTTGGTTTAAAATGTAGGAATATTCGCAGTGATGTTTGCAGATGGCAACATTAGGAAGCACTGTCAATGCCAAGAAAGATTACATATCCTACAGCAACAAACAGATGACCTTGATGGCTGGAGTAAGAGAGATGGGATTAGTGTAAATCCCCTTTAGGACCAGTAACAGAATTTCAGCTGTTTCCATGGGAGTTTTAGTTGGTAATGACTGAAGAGGAGAGAATGAAAGATATTTGAGAATCATCTGTTCAACAGCGTAGAGCAGCTGCTAGAAAAAGAGGGGGAAAAATTTTTACTTTACTAAGCAGTCTGCTTTTAGTAGAAAGAGGAATGTGCTAGAGCAGGAGGGTGAAGGCTCTGGTGGGACTTCCTTTTGATGAATACATGTTTTTCCCCCACTGTGGTCACCTGCTCTGAAGAAAACTGGTTCTAAAAGAGGAGTTACTGGGATGATCCAAAAAATGTAGAAGTCTTGCAAAATACGAGTGTAGCAAGACCAAGGTTGAGATTGCAGCCTACACCGATGTCATGACAGTAGACAGCATGAAGGAAAACAAGCTATTTTAATTGTGTTGATGCAAAACAAATGGGTATAAGCTAGCCAAGAGTAAACTTGGGCTAGGAATTGGAAGAGGGACAGTTTTCCCATAAGGGTAGGGTGGGAGTCTGGGGGATGGCTTGAAGACGGGATGCTGTTTGTAGGACCATGGGATCAGAGTCCCTGGTGTCCTGGTCTGCATTCTGGCAAAAAGCAGCTGTGGTGCCTCTGCGAAAGTATATTTAAGAAAAGGCAAAACACTGTGGAGGACCACAAGGCAGAGCAAATGGACATGCCCTGAAGGAAGTGCAGCTTGTGGAGAGCCCATGTGTGGTAGTTTGATCCACGGTAGGATCATGTGGTCCTGAACTCACTCCCCCCATCCTGTGAGATGGGATGGGAGACACAACAAAGGGGGCACAGGGTTAGGATGAAGGACAGGGATGGCTCACTCACCAGTTATGGTCACGAGCAAAACAGACTAGACCTGGGGAAGAAAAATCAATTTAATTCGTTGCAAACCATCTGAGTAGACATAACAACCACATCTTACAATGCCTTCCCCCACCCCTCCCTTCTTCCTGGGCTCAAATCACTTTGCTCCCAATTTCTCGACCTTCCCCCCTGCCAGTGGCACAGAGGGCAGGGAGTA